GAGGCAAAGTGCGTTGGGATGTTCTGGCCAGCATAGCAGCAAGGTGAAAGGGAGGTAGAAAGGGACACAGGAAGGTGCAACTGGAGCAGGAGGAATGGTGTGTGCAGTGGGAGAAGAGTTTAACAGCAGGATCAGAAGTGGAGTTTACAGGAAGGGGCTTGCAGGGGGCTGCTGGGATGTGAGCAGAAGAGTCACAGGGAGATTTTCAGGCATCCGGGAGAAAGACACACATGAGGAAGGATGGATGGATATAGTGAAAGACACCTGTGGAGGAATGCTGGTTATAGGAATAAAAGTGAGGAGGAGGAGGAGGAGGAGGAGGAGGAGGAGGAGGAGGAGGAAGGGTGTGGAGAGTATTTAGGATCACTCCCCTATCTAAAGGAGAATGTGCATGGAAGGACAGAAGCCGAAGCAGGTTTAGGGCATATGGTTTATGAGAACGCTACTTGGGCTATCGGTGCTCATGGGGTCTAAAGAGCCGTAGGCCCTATTATCTTTTGGCAGTGTGGACCAGACAGGAAGTGAGCGTTAGTAGTACACTTTTGGTGGGAGACTCATCCCTGGGCCTGGGGGTCCTAAATGAGAGGTCATGGTACCTAGAGGTGTGATGAGGTTGCATCACTGATGATGAGATATGAGGTGGGATGTGGAGGATGGTCCCCACTGGAAGCAGCAGCCCCTGTGGACAGCCGTTGCCGAGCCGTGAAGACATTGCCATGAACAATTATACATTGTTTCAGTGCAGTGGACCATCCAATCACAGCCGCATCCTCATACTTCTGTTTATTAAAGGAAGTTCCAGTAGGAGATAAAAGTGAGGGGCAAGCAGAGAACCCCAGTCTTTATCACAGCAGCTCTTCCTCTCCTGGAGGTATCTTTGGAGCAAGAGCTGAGCAGTCTTGAAAAGAAAGCCTCTTGGATTCATGTTGGGAGGAGGGTTGAAATGTAACCGGTGTGAGATGCTATTAGAGTGGTGTGTAAAGTAAGAAGGTACAGAGTCCTCAGAAGCGAGATGGACAGAGCTTCTAACCTGGCCAGGTCCTGCCAAAACTGCAAAGCATCCTGCAGGGTAGATATGTCCAGCTGCAAATACAGTGAGCCCCTCAGCCAGATCTGAGCCTTCAGCAGTGGTCAGGCTTGTTGGTCAAGTCCCCCATTCCCCAGTTGTTAATTTGTTCCTGTGATTTTCTGAATCATGGCCCACACAAGAGGAATCATGTCACGTAGGTTAAATTGTAATGCGGGGGGGGGGGTCCAAAATAAAAAGTAGAAAGGGACCAAAGTTCTGATTCGCAGGTGAACAGCGAGGCATTTGTACAGCCAGATTTTCTCACACGCTCTTCCATTCCTTTTCATTTTTCCCTTGCATGCTCATGCCTTGAGTAGCAATTCACTCTTCCTGTTGTGCATTTGCGCCTCCCTCTGAACCATTTCATACACCTTCTTTCTTCATGCACTAATCCTGCTTGGCTTCCAATATATGTTTCCCTACTTGTTGACAACTCCTCTAGTCTACCGAACTCTCGCTCAGCCCTTCACACCTCTGCTTTTATGCTCCTTGGGATAGTTCCAGACCCAGAGCATCAGCTGACTCCTTGTTGTGGCTGAGCATCCAAATGTGCCAGGGGTTAAGAATGAAACGCTAAATCATGGCGGATAGAATGGTGCTCATCTTGTGTCTGAAGCCTGCTATGATATCCTCAAATACCAACTGGTCATTTCTTCTATCACCTAGATAGGGTGACTTCTGGCTCTCCTCCCCAGAAGCAGGAAGGCAATCGAAGCGACGCTGTTCATTTCCTGTGTTGTGGCAATTAGACCATAATTTCCCCTCCCCTGATAGTGGGATGAACTCTAGCACCTTTTCCTGTGCTTTCCTGTGCTGTGACACTTTCCTCTCTTTGCCATATGTGCCTGTAAATTGGTTACATTGCTCTGGATGTATTCAAGAGTAAAGATGCGCCCCAGTCCATGCACACACAGGTCGTGGCCCATGTTTTGTGGCAACTCTCTGCCCCACAGTCCGTGGTACTGTCTCCGACATGTGGAATCTGGTTCTGTGCCCACACCTTCACCTCTCCAGCCCCACACACGTGCCTGCCCTCCCACACTCATCTGGCTGTCCCCGCACCACATGGTATGGGCCTTCCAGATTGCCAGCTGCCCAGGGCTCTTGCAAGAACCCTCACCTGAGCCTCCATCCAAATCACAGCAGCATCCACATCCGCACCCTTCTGTTCATCCGCAAAGCAAAATCTGACATTTACCCATCTGTCCCACCCAGTTTTCAGCCACGGTTTCTGTAAACACTTCTCTATTCTGCCTTTCTGCTGAACCGTACATAACTTTTAGGGGTGAGGGGCTGCAGTGCAGCCTGCCAGAGCACCTAGTTTGCATGTGGACAATCCCTGGTTCAATTCTTGGCTTCTGCAGGTAGAGCTAGAAAAAGCTCCCGTCCGAAGCCACACAAAGCCATTGCTGCCAGTCAGTGCAGACAGTATGCAGGTAAATGGACCCCTGGTCTGACTTGATAGAAGACAGCTTCCTATCTGCCGCTGCTGAACCCTCCCTGATGGCAGCCGCCCATCCAGCCCGCTCTCCTCCGCCAGCCTGTCTGTCCATCTGTCCCTTCTCCCACACAGGCATGCCCCCTCCGTGCCCGCCATGTTTGTTCTCTTTTGCCTCTCACTCCCCCTCTTTTGCTGCCACCCTGTGCTTCCCAGTCACCCCCCCCCCCAGTTCCCTTTGTTCCCTCCCTATTGAAGCCCCGCTCCCTGGCGCTGACAGGTTGCCGTGGCAGCGCCTGCCGATGGGGTTGCCATGGAAACTGATCCTCTTTCCTGGGCGGCGATGCCCTGAATAATTCATCATCCCCTTGTGGTGGCGGCACACAGCCAGGAGCAGGGTGGTGGGGGGGTGGGGGGAGAAGTAGCTGGTGGGATGGCTGGCGTGTTTGTCCAGGGAGAGCCACAGCAGGGCCGGAGTCTGAGGGAGATGCAGAGAAGGAAGGAGCCACCCGAGAGGCAGACAGGCACCTGAGGCTTCTTGAGCTCCCTGGAAGAGCTGGAGGCCGACCCAACCACCATACGGGCACCAGGTCTCCCCGTGCACTGTTTGGAGCACAGCCAGTCCCCTGTTCTGCTCTCAGGGGCACCTTCTGCTGTTATCCTCTGCACCAGCCTTCCCCAACCCGTCACCCGCTGGATGTGCAAGTTCCATCATCCCCATCCAGCACAGACCATGGTGCATGGGGCCGTGGTAGCTGTTGCCCAGGACATCTAGACTAGAGGGCGCCATGTTGGGGAAGGTTTCCTGATGGTTTTGGCCTCAGAATGAGACTATGAGGCCCTGGGAGGTGCATCCCGCTGTCTGCCTGGCCGGGGGAGAGCGCGAGCAGGGCCACTCTGCCTGGCCAGTTCCGGGGGAGAGAGTGCCGAGGTAGGGGACATATCTGGCATCCTTAATGAGCCCTGCATTTGCGGGCTCCCAAGTTTCTGCTGCCAGCAGAGGAGGTGAGCAGAGCTGCCTAACACAGGAGTGAAGTGAGGAGGAGCCAGATCTGTGAAAGCCCCCTCTGTCCAGCCCCTGTTCAGGCCTCGCCTGAGAACCAGCTTCCCCATCCTTGCTTTTGTAATCAAAGTTCCAGGGCTCGTTCTGTTCTCTGTCCCAGCTGGATTAGCTATCTATAGGCTAATGTCTTTGAGAGAGCCTTCCCCATCCTCTCGGCTCAGACTCAAGGGCTGCGGTCCACTAATATTAGCCGGATTCCTCAGGCAACTGGAGCCTCTGCAAATGTATGGCTTCATGTGGGTTTGTGGGGTAGCGCAGTGCTCTGTTTGAGGTGGGGCACTCGTCCACATTTGGCTCTCCCCCTTCATTTCATCAGCTTTAGGCAGGAAACCCGAGTCAGACTCGCCATCCGTCTAGCTCAGCGCAGTCCTCACAGGCAGTACTTTTTCCAGACCTGCCTGGAGATGTGGAACATTGACCTCAGGGCCTTCTGTATGCAAAGCGCATGCTGTACCACTGAGCTCAGCCCGCAACCCTTTCCCCTTTCCTTAAAGCCTGTTCTGCACATCCTTACTCCTCAAAGCCCGTTTTATCAGCAAAGCCTTTTTCAACCCGTCCTACATTTCACCCCGAACATCCATGGTCGTCTAGCTCTTCCCCATCTCATCTCCACTACCAATTTGTCGAGCACTCACTTTCCAGCCTGCTCCCGTTCCATTTCCTAGACTGCATGTTCTTTGGGTTGAGGCCATGTTGCAGCTGCGTCCTGTACAGTGCCGAGGGTACAGTTTGGCTGGCGACTAAGTGGCTGACGAGAGGTGGCTGCCTCCTTCCCACTTCCTCAAGGCTTCCTTTGACTGGGGGTGCCTCGGAGCATGTGCAGGTTCGGGGCGTGTCTCCATTTTTGTGATGGGATTTGCCTTCTCTCCACCCCACCGTGCACAGTGCGAACCTGGCGTGGCCACCAAATTCCTCTATGAGCTTCTCTACAATGACCCTATCAAGATCATCCTTATGCCAGGCTGCAGCAGCGTTTCCACTCTGGTGGCTGAGGCTGCGCGCATGTGGAACCTCATTGTGGTGAGCACCTTCCAGGTCATGGCTTTGGCATGCACAGTGAATGTGGGCATTGTCGGATAACTGGATAACTGTAGGGTTCAGCCCAGCTGCCTCTTGGGTAAACCTGAAACAGGCTGCAGAGCCAGCGTGTGCTGCAGTGGCTGGAGTGCTGGGCTGAAGCTCAGGAGACCCCTGTCCAAGTCTCCACTTGGCCATGAAGCTGCCAGGGTGACTCTGGGCAAGGCACGGACTCTCAGCCCAACATGCCTTGCAGCAGCTGTTGTGGAGATTATATGGCGAGGAGGAAGAGAATCATGCAAGTCGCTGTGGGTTCCTTGCACAAGGAAGAAAGGTGGGACATAAATAAATATGTGGAGACAATGCCTCTGAGCATATGCAGAGGGCACTGCTCTCAACAATGAGTTAGCCCAGCCCTCCCCCACCGCACACATCTAGATAGGGTTTTTCAGACAGAATCTTCTTGAAAGCCAAACTGTCTCAATGGCAGCATCTCTAGAAATCAGTTTTTGTTGGGCTGGGACCGGGGCAGGCAGTCACATTTAGGAGTAGGAGCAGGTTGGAGTCAGTGCCACCACACCAGAGCGGTGAGCTTGTGCGTGAAGGGTGGGTGAGGAGTAGGAGGGACTCTCGGCCCCAGGGTTAGATGAGGCCAGCGTTGGCATCACAGCTCCTGTCTTGCTCAGCCATGCCTCTGTCTTCTCTTTCCTTCCAGCTGTCATACGGCTCCAGTTCTCCAGCGCTGTCCAACCGCCAGCGTTTCCCTACCTTCTTCCGTACACACCCTTCGGCCACGCTCCACAACCCCACCCGAGTGCAGCTCTTCAAGAAGTGGAGCTGGACCAAGATTGCCACCATACAGCAGACCACAGAGGTGTTCACCTCGGTAGGGAGCGCCAGCCCTGAGCCAAAACTACTGCCATGACTTTTCAGGCGTTCTGCAACTTCCCGTCAGGCCCAAGCACTGGCCACCCCCATAGCCCCAGCCCCCACCCCCAGTCAACAGTGCCAGTCCTAACTCAGGAGTGGTTCACGAGGCTGGAGAATTGTCCTTGCAGTCTCTGTTTCCAAAAGCCAGTCCTCAAATTCCACGATTCTACTGCTGACCAAGGACCGGGCTGCTTCCCAAGGGTCTCCACTAAGTTCAGGGATACCAAGGAACTGGGTTGCTACCTTTGATGCACTTAACAGACTGGTCCACCGTATCTTGAGCCAGACTGTTCCAGCTCACTCCTAGTACTTCTTCTGACTGCAGCAACTCTCTGGGGCTTCAGGCAGGGTCTACAACCAGGTTATTTTTAGGAGGAAATGCCCTGATTTGAACCTGGGACTGCTGCATATTGCCTCTGAGCAGTGGCCCTTCCAACATGCAGAGGCCTAAACCTGCCCCATGGCCCAGAAACTGGAGTCCTCAGAAGAGAGGAGCAATTTGTGGTCCCCCAGATGTGGTTAGCCTACAGCTTCCGCGAGCCTTCGCCACTAGCTGTGCTGCAAGGCCTGATGGGACTTGCCAGCCAAAGCACCTGGAAGACCACAAGTTGCCCACCCCTGCCCAAGGAAAGGGGGCAGATTGAGTCCTGACAGTTACGCCGCCTTTGACTACAAACCATTAGCAAATGGACGCTATGAATTTCCTATGGTGAAGGTGCAACATAGCCCTTGCAAACATAGCTGTAGTAAAGGTAAAAATCTTTCCTCTACCTGCTGGTAATATTGGGTGGGAAACAGCAACACACAAAAAATGGGGGTGGGGGTATAAATATACCAGCTCAACCTCTATAAATACTGAAACTTCTATAAAAATTGGCATTTCCATAGACATTAGTATAGAATATCATTTTTGCTTTGTTTAGGGCATGCTTTGACGGTCCTTTGCTTGACTGGCTGTTTAAGCCCCCTCTCCAAATAATATGTTCTGAAGATGATGTCTGGCTTGCTTTCAACTTCCTGAGAATCTTAGGACTTAGCCGCTTCACAAAAGACATAAGCAAAGCAAAAATGTAACCTGTTGTAGTTGATAGGCCTCGTGTTTCAGAGAAAATGTTGAATTGGGCAAGCAGTCTTTGTTAAAGCCTGGGATGAAGAAGGTGACCTTGAAGGAACTTCTAGCAGACAGGAAAGGGGTTGCTGGTTTGCATTTGTCTCCTTGCCTTGCTTTATTGCAAGCTGTTGCCAGTCCCTTTTCGTATTCTAATTCAGTGTGCTGCTCTCTCCTCTCCTTCCTTGCTTTTTATCACCGAATTCATATCAGAATGTTCCAAATGTGTTCCCCAAATTCATTCCACTTAATATATTATGAATGCTAATAGATTCCATTTGTGGATTAGGAGAGCTGCATTTCCCCAGGATATTTTAGTACATTCTTTTGAGACCTTCTTTGTCTACCTGAACAAATCTTGTGCATCTTTAAACTTCAGTAGGCTATCAAAATGTACCTCTTTCACAACACAGTGATTCCCTCCCAGAAACTAAATCCACAACTTTAAGGTTAAGCTCGTTCTCTTTGATCCACCTGACCCTAAAATGCAATGAAATTGAACTGAAATGTAATGCCCTCAGTGTGATCTTGATCATTGTTTGGAGAGGATATAACATTTTCTTCAGCCCTAACAGCCACCCCTTTGACCCACAAGCAGATGGGTAACTTAAAAGCCATACGTTGTCTATAGGTTCTGAAGCTTTGGACTCTTTGTTAGGATACTGGAGTTTTCAATTTTCTTTCAGAATAAGTTTCTAGCCCACATCATGCCTATGATAACAGAAAATATCTTGCCTTGAGAAATACAAACATCATTATTGATTATATTTATTATGAAGACTAACAATGTGAATGGTACTTAATAGAGGAATATAAATGGGAAAAGTCTCTTCCACAAAGAACTTACAGTCTGAAATTAAACAGCTGGGAAGAGAAGTATGGATAACAAGATATAGGAGCAGGGACATGGGTGTCTTTTGTATGCCTCTAGACTGTGCTGAAAGAAAATGTATTTCTGGCCCCTTTTCCCTTACTTAATCTCAATAAATGTCATCTAAGAGCTCAACTGAGTGCTATTTCTCTCCAAGAGTGTCCTATGAAGAATTACTGCTTCAAGTTTCAGAAAAGGAAAATTGCACAAAGAGCGCCAAGAATGAGGCAGAGCATTCCCACAGCTGTGTTCCAGTGTCCATCACATTTATGCAAATGTTAAGCAAATGAAGCTATTTTTGTGTGAACTTTGATAGGCAAATGGGCTGTGGCCTTTCTTGTCTCATTGTGGTACATTTCCACTGGCTCCCTTGAGGCCGAGCCATTCTCTTTCTGCCGAAGCCTGTTCTCAGTCTTTAACCAGAGCTAATTAGAAAAATTGCATGGCCCCAGTTGATAAATGCAGAGGATGGCTGTGAACAGAAACATGTAGTGGTTCTTTTGAGTCTTGAGAATCTTAATTATACCTATCTATAAAACTATAGATTTTTACAAAAGCAGTGGAAAAACTGGCCATTTCTATTTTGAAGAAGCAGCAGCTGTAGGATCCCTGATCGTGAATGTGTTCCTTACCTGGATTGGGACCCTTTGGCCATTGGTTTCAATGGACTGCTAATTAATGAATCTGCATGTGCTAATGTTTGTGTTAGATTATGACTCAGTGTGAGGATGGGGGTGGCTGGGCGAGACTTGAACTTCAGTCAGGGAAAGTGGGATCTTCACACCCACCATTTGCTCCATGGATTCCTGCCTGCCTTTCACTGGCACACTACAGAACCCCATCCTCTTGGGCTCTTATTTCCTCAGTCTTCCCTAGGTAGTGTCTCGTCATGCCCCTTTCCTGCCTTGCTCATGGGTAGACTGTTACTCTGGAGGAGTACATGACACCTGTATGCTCATTTTCCACTGAGAAGACCTGGGGCGGGGGCGGGGGGGGGGGACAATTCTCAGCAGAAAAGCAGTGCAGGAAAAGATAGGTTAAAAGCCTTCCAGGCCCACAGAAGTTCTCTTTGGATTGGGCTGCGCTGGAACTGCTTTTCTGGGAAGAAGAAGAGTAGACGTTTGTAAGTATGTGCCTCAAAAAGTGTCATGTGCTTTACATAACATGTAGTTTGGTGATCACAGAAGCCACACTCTATCATGTTGTTTGCCCATAATTTGCATATTTTGAACCATTTAGTTTGCTTTTGCTGACTGTAGCAAGAGGCAAGGGCTTACACAGAGCCCTTTCCAGTAAAAGTTTGAGATTTTACCTAGTATTTCTCTGCAAGAAACTGGTGGCTAGAAACTTGGTAAACTGCACAAACTGAAATTAGCAGGGATTGTGTTTTCTTCTGACTACCAAATGCTGTGCATGTGCAGTTTAGCTGTAGAAGCAAAGATTACGTTCCTTGTTGTTTCTTTTAAAATCCTAGCACTGACCTATGATTATACCCTCCCTTCCCCATTCAGCCTTACTCCTAAGCTCAAACAGTGCCCCCTTTTCTTTTTTCTTCATTGTCCTGATGCTGCCTTCTGTATCCCCACAGACTTTGGATGATCTAGAGGAGCGCGTCAAAGAGGCCGGCATTGAGATCACTTTCCGCCAGAGCTTCTTCTCTGACCCTGCTGTGCCTGTGAAGAATCTCAAGGTGACAGGAGTGTGCGTGGCAGTGAGTGGTTGAGGGCTCGGCGCACTGCTTATGGCCGTAGGTGGAGCATCCCTTAGAGACGGCCTCCTCCTCCCTTTATGCTCTCTGGGACCTGCCTTCTGAGTTCTGCCATCAGTGCGTCAGATTCAGAAGCCAGGGCACAGCAGAAAGTACCCATGTGCCTGTCCCTCCTAGTTGCATCGGAAGTACCTTATACCACCTCAGGCAACGCATCCCTCTAGTCCTGTGTGCCTGCCTCAGCGGCCAGCCACTTCTGCAGGTCCCTGGCAGAAGGCTTGCCCAGCACCTGGAGGTGCCAAAGATGGAACCGGGGAGCTTCCACGTTTGAAAGATGAGCTCTGTCCAGCTCTAAAATAAGATCTGGCTCTTTGCTAAGCAAGCAGAGGGATATATATGATAGAGCAGTCAATTGAGCAGAGCAATAGTCAAGCACAATTTTACTAGGCACATGGGGTTTTTTACAGAATGAGGTCTGAGGCATAGCCAAAGACAGGAAATCAGCCAAGGAAAGCCACAGTCCAAAAGCAGAATCAGGACTTTAGTGCAGAGATCCAAGCACGCAGCAAGGTTATGAAGAAAACAGGACGAGCTGAAGTTCCAGCCTTACTTCCAGCAGCTCTCAAGTTACACGTGAGAGCTGATTTACCTAGACCAGAGCCCACAGGGATAGGTCTGCCCAGTAAGTGAGCACTCCTTCACCTGGCCACCATCCTGTTAAGGACCTTAAGATGCCAGCATTCTTAGGGCTAGCTGGTGGCCCTGTCCCGATGCTTATCTTAGAGGGTGAGCTTTCTGTCTCTCCAGGATGCCGCTCCAATGGCATCAGCCCTGAGGGTCGTGGACTGTCGTGATAGTGCCAGCGTCTTGTGTGGTGCCAACTGGCTGTGAAGGCTCTGGCTGAAGATGACCGGTGGCAGCATGACACCTGGGAGCACAATAAGCTCTATTCACTGAGGGATGGTCCTACCTGTGTGGAATTTATGGGTTCCCATCAGATCCGAGGTCCCCTCCTCAATTCCCTTTGGGAAGGCATGATGTCTTGGAGGTTCCTTGGAGAGCCTTTATGTTGCTGTTGTTGCTACTAGTATCTTAAATGTGCGTGTGACTTAAAGCCTTAAAGCAGTCTTAAAGTGACTTATATTAACACATGCAGACCTCCATAATTCATGTAACAGAAAAAGCAAAATCAATACAAACCATAGCCAGTGCATTAATGTAAATAAGAACAAGCATCACACACACATAATATAAAAGCAATACAGATAAAGCGCCCATCCACAATGCACAAATCCTTTTCTCCTACCTACTCACAACCAGGAATGGACACCACAAAATAGCCCACAACAGTTGGGCTGCAACTAATGTCCAAATATGAAATGGCATTTCATCACATAACACACTTTTCTGTACAACATGCTAATGGAAAACATTTGCCTGATGCCGAACAAGTGATAGTGTCATCTTAGCCCTCTTTTTAGCACTCCAGGGTTTACTTGAAAAATCAAATTGAAGGGCATCTAATTACTCTAGCTGTACTGTCAGGAATAAATTTCCCCTAAAACACAAACAGACATCTTAGCTGCCACCACTTACTGGGTTAAAGAGTGGTGGAGCTTGTGCGCTATGCCAGAGGGCAGCCGTTTTGGTTGAGAGATCTAACTGGGATACCGAGTGAAACTCTGCCAGCTTCCGATCTCGAACCATTCAAGCCCCCTAGAGGGTTAGCGTATGCTTTCTTAGTAACTTGGCTGCGAGGGTGAGATGTAGGGTGAGATAAGATTAATTAAAATCTGAAGATCAGAACACACAGGTTTATTTAAGCAATTAACATATGCAAAGAACATAGAATTGGAATGAAGGAAATAAAAAGGACAAATGGCTCTCGCTTCCAGCCAATATCATAGGCGGGGAGATGAAAGGCTGCTCAGCTACAGAAGGTGCATAGTAAAAGGCAGCAGTTTTGAGTCTCCCCCTCTTCTGCCTTGGCAGCAGATGCCACGTGAAATCCAAAGGCTGCTACTTCTGCTAACTTCAGACTGAAGGCATCTAACAAAAATCTAGATATCTGCAGGAACTGTGCAATGTGAGGGCATAACCAGATGGATGGAGGTGAAGCATAAGAGGTGGGGTGGCAGGCTGAGATGAAGCCCTCACCGTATCCCGTACAACAGGTCCAGGCTTATGTAAGTCAACAGTGGCTCAATATATAGGACTGAAGCAACAGACGACTCCACAAATGCAAAGACTGCCGAGGCCCCGTGTGCAGCAGGAGAGGTTGGTAAGTTGCATGTCGGTGGCACTCCTTATCCATCGCCCCCTTTTTCTGAGCACCATAGGAACTATTCAGCACCATGGATAGCTCCTGCGAGCGGCAGTGGCCAAGGAGCCCCACCAACATAGGCATCTCCCACCTTTGCTGGTATGTGGAGGCTTGTCCCATAGAAATGGAGACAAACATTGGCCCATTTGGTAACAGTCTGACTTGTACGTGCTCTTATATGACATTGTAGTTTGCATTCCCTGCAATAGCTGACTTTGGGAGTTTAGGATTTAGCCACGTTAGGCTGTGGATGTATTGGTGAAGTTTTGCAAGTGTTTTTCTGAGCCTTTGACAGAATTTGAAATAAGGTATATATGTATATGCCATGGACATACGTGTGGGATTCAAGCCCCCTTTGTGAGTTGTTTGCATGTAGGACTGTACCTCTGGTCCCACCCCTGAGACCATGCAGCTCTCCAAGCCTGCCTCCTGATAGCCACAGACTGAGCGTGGATCTCCACACAGGGAAGACCAATCCATTTAGACTCCCCTGCAAGCAGGGATCTCCATTCAGCATCCCTTATTGGCACAGATTTCCCCTGCAAGGGCACCCACATGCGACGCTTGGCTGTTGAAGTGCAGGCGGGGGTGGGGGGGCAGGGAACCACACGGTCCTGAGGCATCACTCGCAGCATTGCTTCTGCACGTGTCATATGGGTGGCACTGTGTGGCACTGCCTAAGGCTATGTGGGTCTTGTGTGGGACTGTGGAAGCTTTCTCCACATGGACCAGTTTGTATATTGCTGTCTGGCAGCACAGGTTTGCTTAAAAGTAACCTTCAGTTCAAAGAGCTGACTTTGATTATTGCTGCTCGAAACATCTAGGGCCAGGTTCTTTGAAGGGCCACTGACACCCATAGGACGGGCTGCACCCATGTCTTGAGATCCTTATCAGAGCCCCAGTTCATTGACTCCCCTTCAAGGTCAGTTTGAGGCCAGAGGCTTCTCAATAATGCTTGGCAATCTGTGGGCCTCCCTCCAAAGCCGTGGACAGCAGGTCCCTTCAAGCGTGTTGTTCGAGGAGGCTTTGAAGACCTATTTGTACCAAGCGGTTCATACCTGATACAATCTTATTGTACACGCAGCTGTTCCATTTCCTGTCCTGCTGGCTGAATTGTATTCTGAAGTACTTGCTTCTCTTTGGCATTCGGGAATTTCAAGTCTTCCTATGAGGCCTCGTGGTGATGCCATGTTTACATTGTGTCCACTGTATGGGGGGACTTTGTCGGGAGCAGGTCTCTCCCCGCCTCCACTTTTCCTTCTCCTGCAGACTTTATTAGAGCTTTACAGGACACAGCGCAACATCAGCCAAAGTGATGTTTTCGTTGAGATGTGGGAAGGGTTGAATCCAGCCTTTCCTCCTCCTCCACTGCCTTTCAAAAGGATTCTGGCTCCACCCTCAGGACGGTTCTTGCTGCTTGAGGGCTAGATGGCACCAGCCACCTCTTAATTAGTCTGCTCACGTGGCCCGTCCTCTCCTTACAGGGCCAAGGAACTCCCCCTCACTCTCCAGCCCTTCCTGTCCTGCAGTGTCTCCCTCCCTTTCCAAGACAGGCTGGTTCTCCTGCTCTGTCTCCACTAGAAACAGCATTTTCTGCCCATCTCTGCCCCTTGGCTTTCTCCTCAGAAACAGACGAATCTCTGAGCAGAGTCTAATGTGTGGGAGCCAGACCCCTCCTGCACAGACTTTCTCCAGGAAGGCAGCCTAGAAAAATGTAAGATAAATAATCCAGTGGGGTTACTCCCAAGCGAGGGTGCCTAGGATTGCCTCCTTAATGGTGGATCAGCTGTGACCCATTGCCCTCCATCCTGGTGGCCTCTGCCAGCCCTGGAAAAGGGAGTCATGCCCCATGCTTGTCAGCAGCCGGAGCCGAGGGGCAGGGCACAGGAGAGCTTTCAGCACTGGGCTCGCCTGACGTGCCCCGTGCGCCCAGCCAGGCAAGATCCGCAGGTGCCACCACCACACCTGCTGCAGGCTTCGCCGTCTGCCGAGAAAAAGAGGCAGCCGCTGCTATTCAGGGCCTGGCTTGTTCTGGTGGCAGCTGCTGTCCCCGAAACTGACAGATGGGCAGATCCCATCCTCCTGACAGCTTCTGCTCCAGGGAGAGCGGATGCCACCAGTATGAACGAGCAAGATACTGCAGCAACACTTAGCCGCTTTTTTTTGTAAATAAGCAGGGCACAGTTGTGATAAGTGCTTGGCAGGAGCACTCAGAATAGTGCTCCGTTCATCCAAGCGAAAGTCTGCTTTCATTCCCGTGGACGAAAATAAGGTTTCCATGTAGGGACATTGTTCGGGTGGCGCAAAACCTTCTTTTCACGGCAGGTGCTGGGCCTCCCCACTGACTGGGGCCCCATCGGCACTGTGTCCCTCTCCCCTCAGGGGAGCCGCCACAGCAGCTGGCATTTTCTCTATTAATAATTGCAACATCAGATAACCGCACTTGCTCGGTTATTAATCATTAACGGAATGGCATTATGGATTCATCGGCGCTAGCTCTGCAAGACAAAAACAAGAGGCGGTGTGTGTATCATCTCCTTCAGGCAGGCAGAATTCACAGCTTCTGACCACACTGTGTGCCAATCTGATTAGCAGCGTGCGCAGGACAAACAAAAGCAAGTACTTCTTTAGCACAACGTGTAATTAACTTAGGAATTTACTACCGCTGTATATGGCAACTGACAACACCGGCTTAGGTGGCTTTTCAAAAAGCTCAGATTCAAATTAGTCAGAACAGTTAAATGACATTTCCCTAGTGGGAGGCATCAGTTAGACTGGGACAAACACGAGGGAACGGCCATCCAATTTATGATTTATGCTCTGCGTGTGACCTTCCTGGGGTGCCAGACTTGCCTCTGATGAAAATGCAATGCCGGTCCAGATTGACGCTTTGCTGGATCTACTCAGGCACTTCTTGCAGCCTTCTGAAACCTAATACCTTCCAGATGGGATGGACTACAAACTCCATCATCCTGAGCTAGCATGGTCATTGATCCAGTGAGGTTTGTCCCAGCAAGATAATCCTTACAACCTTCCCTAATTGGCCATGCTGAATGGGGAGGATAGGAGTTGCAGCGGTATGGTTTTGTTTCTGCAGTCTTTGGAAACTCCTTTGCCGCTGGATAGGTCATTATATTGCTGTGGTATTGAGAAATGGTGCTTATGTTTATCAGTGTGTATGGATCAATATAATGAAAGAGAATAGCTAAGAATTCTGGGAATCAAGTTAAGTATAGCCTGCTTTCCTTCAAAACAGAGTCCTGTTTACAAGTTCTGGCCAATAGAAATTGGAAAGCATTTTGCTGAAGGAAGTGGCTTTGTATCCATTTATGTACTTAGATGAATTCCAGGTTTACCGTATGCATTTGTGACTCCCAGCCCACACCCAGTAGGTATGGAATATATTTTTAGCATGGCTCGTGTTTAAGGAACTTGAGTAAAAGCACAGTCAGGCATGAAAGTTTGTATTATGGCCAGATAAAACTCTCTCATGTCTTTGGGTGGATGGGTAGTGATTTAGGGTGTACATCTGGGTTTATGAGGTGGTAGCTCCCTGGTGTATCCTGTAATCTGAGCCTGCAAGTGTGTGCATTGGGGAATGTGTGGGGGAGAAGGGATGTGGAGGGATGTGTTTGTGCACTTTTCTGGGGCCTTGGGAGGAAGAGCATTTGTGTGTTTCCATTGTATGTGGTGCAGAAGTGATTCTGATTAAGCCGCTCTCCAGCCCGGGTATGCCAGCTCTGATATACATCTGGGACTGGAAGGAGAAGGGCAGCCTTACATCTACGAAGGAGCGGATGGATGGATGGATGAATGGATGAACGCATGCATGCATGAGTAGGTGCACATTTCATGGTGGTGTGTTTGCACACTCAGTAAACTGCATGTTCGTACATGTGCGATTAATATTTGATTGGGCTTGTTTCTGTGGGAATATCTTCTGGTCACCCGATCCCATTTCCTTCCCTACAGCGCCAGGATGCCCGCATCATTGTTGGACTGTTTTATGAGACTGAGGCACGGAAGGTCTTCTGTGAGGTGGGTACGCAGGAACAGAGTTTCCTCCAGGAGCACCAGAGACTGCAGAGCGAGTGCCTCCTTATTTCCATTCCTAAGTGGGCTTAGAGGCCAGAGCAGACATCATCTTGCCACTGCACTGGGTTCCCTGCTGGCACCTCCTTCTCTAGGGTCACCGTGTGCACCTAATTCAGTTGTCCTGTAGCACTTGGAGGCCCCTAGTCCACACACACACACACACACACACACACACACACACACACACACACAGAGAGAGAGAGAGAGCGAGAGAGCGAGCGAGCGAGCGAGCGAGCGAGCGAGCAGCACTGGCATAGGAACTCATGTCCAGGTAATGCGTATCAGCAAAACAACCTTCTGGATGCGGCCAAGAGTGCAGTCCTTTCCTTCTTGATTATCCTCCTGTACAGTGGCAGTCAGATGAGCAAGAGCCACACTTGTCACTGCAGCTCTTTAATGCACATTCGTTCAGTAATCGTGTGGAGCCTCACCATGGTGAAACGGCCTCCACCCTGTGAGGTGTTTGTGGGAAGGGGTCTGCTGTTAGAGAAGGTAAGCAGTGGGCAGGGGCTGAACGTATGAACAGGCCATGTGATACGAAGCAGATGAATGTGAATTGAGAAGGAACCGGGGAGAGTTTGCTAGGGAGCAGGAAAGGTAGACAAAGTCAGCAAGATGTGGGTTTGCTCAAAGAGTGTATAAATGGTGGTGTCTGTACAGTGTGCAAGGATTGCCTTCCTGTGACGCAGAGGAAAAGAGAGAGTATTTTATTTAAAGTTGCAGTGGGAACTGACAGCTCACCAAAGGAGCACATGTATCACTCATGTGGAAAAGGTTAAGAGGCAAGGGTCTATCTATGCCTTGCGCGCAAATCTGGGTAGCCAAAGAAGTGTATATTCCTGAAAAACAAGTGTGGGAAAGGCAGTGCAGACCAGAGGAGCGGCAGGTGGTGGCGGCTTCCAAAAACACTGCAGAAATGAATGGGAAGAAGGGAGGGATGGGAGTGTGGGGATGAAAGGCCTGTAGCGGAACACGTGATGAGCCAGGGCAGGCAGGCAGGCGCTCCCGCTGCGTGCCAGGCCTTGGTCAGCTTGCCCTCTTCGCTGGCTAACGTTCCTTTGGCACAGGTCTACAAGGAGCGCTTGTTCGGGAAGAAATACGTCTGGTTCCTGATTGGCTGGTATGCCGACAACTGGTTCCGCATCAAAGACGCGAACATTAACTGCACGGAGGAAGAGATGAGGGAGGCGGTGGAGGGGCACATCACGACGGAGATCGTGATGCTGAACCCGGAGAACACCCGCAGCATCTCCAATATGGTGAGGAAGGGCCACTGAAGGCTTAGCTAACAGTGCGCCGAGGGAATGGTGCACAGAAATCTTCAACAAATAAAATGAATAAACAGACCCTGGACGGAGGGAGGGAGGGAGGGAGAGAATGCTGGGATTTGCAAGCACGACTGCAGGTCACGCTCTCTGGCTTGGCAACCTGCACTCCACAGATTCATTCTGTTTGCTTGGGGGCAAAGGGAATGCACTCTGCTTGTATATTAGTGCTCTTTCCCCAGGGCAAAGGAAGCCCTTTGCTCTTAATAGTTGCACCAGCTGCACCGGTTGGCCAGTTAGTTCTTGGTCAACATCAGGTGACTGGCTGCTTCACATGACCTGGAATCCCCGCCACCCCTGTGTGTGAGTCCACTCCCCAGTCGATGTCTAGCCCAAAGGCTTCGCAGTCTGTGCCATCTTTGAAGCACATTAGCAAGTCCAGACGAGGACAGCCAGAACCACAGTGTTGCAGTAATTGCAGAGGTACCTTGGCTCACAAACTTAATCCGTTCCTGGACTCTGGTCCTGATCCAAATTGGGCATGAAGGTTCAATGTAAATAAGGTTAATCTGTTCTGTAACTATTTTTTTAATCAGAAAAATGTGAAGCAAAGTGACAAAGAAGAACAAAGATCTCCCCCCACACACCCAGAGCACGAGTGTGGCCATCTCCTCACGCCCGTCATCCCGGCGTGCTCGGGGGGAGGGAGAGTGGGTGCGAACTGGGCGCACTGGGCGGGGGAGGGGGAGACGGGCGCTATCATGCTGGAGGGGAGATGGCTGAGATTGCGGTTGAGCCCCTGCAGGAAAGATGGGTGTGATCTCCACCATCCCCCCCCCGCCCCACCACTGGGGACTTGGCTGCGATCGGGCCGCTACCCAATGCGGAGTTCGTGACCTAAGTCAGTTTTCTAATAAAATTTTTGTTTGCAACCCAATTTGGTCATGAACTGAGGTGTTCGTGAGCCAAGGTACCACTGTATATTTATTTGGATCCACGTTTACACATCCTGAGAGTAGACCTAATGAAATCAGTGGGGTTTAAGTTACTTATGATTGAATTCAATGGGTCTACTTGGCTAAAGCCGGATCTGCCACCTTCCCTATACTTGTGCTACCTTCTTACCAAAGAGTTAAGGAGATTTACCTCTCTGGCCAGTGTTTGAGAAGGTTGCTCTTCTGTCAGGCTTGACTAAGTTTACGTTTAGTTCATTTTTTTAAATGTGTGGGCTGCAATTCATTCAAAAGGAGATTTCAGAGCACTTTATACAAAAAATAAATGTTCAGAATAATAAAAGGGGCATAAAAACTATTTCCACCTCCTAAAAATCTAAATTTAAAATGCCTGGGCAAACAAAAAGGCATTGTAACCAAGTGCTTCAAATAGTGCAGAGTTGATGCAGGTGGTAGTTCCTGTAGGAGGGTATTCCAAATATCAACAATCCAAACATTGTTTTCTGTAATTCTTTTTATATAATTATTGATGCAACATTAATACTGCATTGCCGGTATTTAAACAGTATCTTTGTTATAAGCCACTTAGAACCTCTCAGAAAAATGGCATCTTAGTATTTTAAGGCACAATCCCGTGGCCACTACAAAGAGTCCAGATGGGCCAAGGATGATTGGAAACTGGAGTCCCAGGTTTGACCTCAGAAACTGGCCCTGAGGTTGGCATTTGGACTCCAGATTTGGACTGCCCTCCCTGCCATCACAGCCCAACCGGAGCAGAAAGACCCCTGCTGGCTGCAGCACTGAGGGGAACAATGCAAAGCACCCCCACCTCCTCTCCTCATACTCCAAGCAAAGCATTTGCATGGCTGAAATCGACTGTGTGTTTTGCACAGTCAGAGGAGCACCCAAGCAATGTTCACCCTCACGCTTCTCCTGCCACCCCTAAGATGCCACCCCTTAATCCTCTGAGCTTGGAGGATTTCAGGCAGCCTTGTTAACAAAAATACTGTCTCATTAAAAATAAGGACAAAAAAACAACAGCAGCAAAGAACTTGCTTCTGGAGGAATTATTTATTACAGATCTTTATCACCCTTTGAAAACATAGACTTTGGTTCTTTGTATTCAGTGATTTAACAGAATACAATAAGCATTTCAGGCAATCTTATTTTCAAAATTCAGTAATAAAATTTGCGTGTCCTGTTGTTTATTTGGGAATTTCACTGTTGCTTCTATATAAATACAAAAAAAAAAATCCTATTTTGAAAATGTTGATCAAAAGGAATACATTTTCCATCAGCCTTACTACTAATTTCTGTGCAAGGTTGTAATTCTACTTGCTCTTTTCCACCTCCAGACATCGCAGGAGTTCATTGATAAACTTACAAAGCGAGTGGAAAAAACTCCAGAAGAGACTGGGGGCTTCCAGGAGGCCCCGCTGGCGTATGATGCCATCTGGGCACTCGCTCTTGCGCTCAATAAGACCTCGGCTGAGCTGGTGAAAAAGGGGCTGCGACTTGAAGATTTCAATTACAACAACCGGACCATCACGGATGAAATCTACCGGGCACTCAACTCCTCCGCCTTTGAGGGAGTCTCGGTAAGTGCTCCATGAGTTTTATTTCCTGAGCATCCCCTATCCCACAGAGGATTCCTACTGCCCAGCAGCAGGCAAGTCTGACACAGAATATTACTTTGGCAATTAATTTAATTGTGCAAAATACATGTATTCTGCTTCGAATGGGTGAATTTGTATTTCCATTCCAGAGTTACTGTTTCCATTTTTGCAGACCACATGTGTCTGTGCAGGCTTCCAAGAAGCACCACTGTTACGGTAGGAAAAGAGAGAAGGATAAACATAGCAGAGGGATCAATATTCCAAGTGGGGCACAGAAACTGTACTTGTTCTGCCTATAATTGCAGAATCTTTTGGGAAAAAGTGCTTGTACATTTTCAGAAATGTCTTCATAACAGTGATGGCTACAGGCTTGAATGACCTTTTTGAAAAATGAAAGTTGAGATATTCAGGAACCTAAATTCTACCTGAAAACTAAGACTCTGAGCCAGGATATTGCATGAGTGAAATTGTAGAACATAATACGTATGATCGAACTGACCACAGCTTTCCAACTTCAGATCTTGTCATTGCAAATCCACTGAGCCAGTGTTATATAGTAGTTGGAGTAAAGGCTGGGACTCAGCAAATCCTGGTTCTATTTCCACTTTGCCGCTTTGGACTGACTCAGCCTCACCTATCTCATGGGGTTTGTTTGGATAGAAAGGAGAGGAAGGAGACCATGTCAACCTCCTTTAAGTTCCTTTCAAAAGGAAACAAGGCAGAATATAAGTGCTACAATAAATAATTTTCATAGACACTCCTTTGCACAAGAGATAAACAGTGGTGCTTCTGTTATCTCATGCAGGAATCTGGTGCTTCTTCCCACGTAGCACTGGAGGGAGGCAGTGGAGGATCCGGACTCCACTTCCCACCAGCATGGCTGGATCTTGGGGGACACTGAATTAATACACTTCCCCTCTTTCACCAGGGACACGTGGTCTTTGACGCCAGTGGCTCTCGGATGGCCTGGACTCTCATTGAGCAGCTTCAGGGTGAGCAAGGGTTATGCCAGGTCTGTGTCAGCTTGAGTGGTCCAGAGCTCTTCCACCACTTTTCTGCTAGGCAGCCAGTCATTCTCTCTAGCATATGGTGGTTTTGATTGTGGTTTTGGATTGGGTCCGCTTGCTATTCGCTGCTTGAGACTAAGGCACACAATATCCGACCTGCACGATGCATATTATATTTCCTGACCACCACCCTTCAAATTACCCATTGCCTTAGCCTAGAATGATTTTATTATTGAGCTTGACCTGTTACCAGTTCCAGTACTTAAATAGCTAGAAAACCAGATCCTCTGTAGTTCTTTTCATCATCCTCCACAAGCCCCTGCTTGAATCTACTGCCTGAAGTGCCTTCCTCTGCCAACAGATGGTGTCTATAAGAAGATTGGCTATTACGACAGCACCAAGGATAACCTCTCCTGGTACAACAATGAAAAATGGATTGGTAAGAGAGGGAGGAACCTCCTTTTGGTGGGGGTGCAGAGCCCTCTGGAAAATCAAACAGTTTTAAGTATCTGAGGATCTAGAAGTAGCTGGTCGCTTTCGGCTGCAGCCCTGTGGGCAGGACCAGTTGTCAATAACTTTTGCAGAGTGTCTAGTGAATTTTAGATGCTTTGCTTGCAGTAATAGCAGCAGCAGCAGACAGACATTATTTGTCCATAGAACCAGCTCGGGTTGCTTTCAGCTCAAGAGTTCAGGTTGAGACAAGCTCAGGCCACTGATGAAAGATGGGCCAAACCTGTAATAGGATGGGCTGTAGCTCTAAGGTAAGAGCAGGCGCTTTGTATGCAGAAATGCTCTTAATTTCTCCAAGTAGGGGAAAGATCCCTGACTGAAACCCTGGAGAAGAGTTGCTACCAGTTAATGTGCAGACAATTTGGAGCTACGTGGAACAAGCTGGGGAAAGCCTGGCTTTAGTACTCTACACTCTGGTAACCTCTAAAGTGAGGTATTCTGGTGCGCTCTTCATGGGGCTACCCTTGCTGGCAATTCAGAAGCTGCGACTGGTGTAGACTGCAGCAGCCAGATTAAAACCAGGACCTGCAGACATGAAAGAATGGTTCTGGCCCCTTTGCACTGGCTGCCTGCAAGCTTCTGGTCCTAATCCAGGGTGCCGATTTTAACATATAAACCTTACACAGCTTAGGCTCCAATACCTGTTGGAGCACCTGTCCCAGCTGCGATGTCCCCAGACACTGCGCTCAACCTCTGGGGGCTTCCCCCGAGTGCCAGCTCCAACGGGAGTGCAGAGGGTGGCCACAAGGGGGGGATTTCTTGGTGGCGGCCCCCCCTCTATGGAATAACCTCCCCACTGTGGCCTGGGCAAATGAAAAGGTTTTAACCAAATGAAAAGGTTTTCACCCAAACCCAGGGGCTTGAGAAGGATTACCAGGTGTTTTTCAGAGTCACTCTTTTGTTATTCCTTGTTCTTGCCTGTTTTTATTATCTGTTTTTTAGCTATTTTAAACTTTAGCTATTTTTCCTGATTTTATGATATTTTTATCATATATTTATCATCTGTTATTATGGGCTGTGTAAAGCACCCAGAGAGCTTTGGCTGCTGGGTGGCATAGAAATATATAAATAAGTCACAATGCCACTGTTGGCGCTGTTCACTGTTTATATGTAACCAAAAGATCAAGTGGCTCTTTAGATGCACGTTTGGGCTACAGGGGAACCCTGGGTGTGAAAAGGCGTGAGGATTCCTGGTGCAGAGGTCTCGTTCTTGAGGAATGCAGGCATGCCCATCCCAGCCCGAGGCGGAGTGGGAGGAACCCTGTAGTCTCGCCTCCAGAACATCTCGTGGAAGCGAACGGCGGGATGCTTCAGCGAGGAGCACAAAAAGGAAGGGGCACGGGGGGTCCATGGGGAGCGAATGTGGGGGGCATGATCCTAGTGATGGGAATGCATGCGAGGTGTTCAGCTCCTGCATTTCTCTCTCCTCCTCCGCATCCTGTAGGGGGGGTCCCACCTGCTGACTACACAAAGGTCATCATCACTTTCCGGTACCTCTCCCAGAAGCTCTTCATCTCTGTTTCGGTGCTGTCCAGTGTGGGCATCCTGCTGGCCATCATCTGCTTGGCTTTCAATATGTACAATGGGCACGTCAGGTGGGTGACCATCGCCCCTCGGGGCCACTCCTCTGCTGCAGGAAGAAGGTGGTGGAGCACACACTGCACGTGCAGAGGGGCCCAGGCTTAGCCCCTGGTGCCTCCAGGCCTGGTGGGGCTGGCAGAGACTCTTGCCAGAAGCCCCGGGGAGCCCCTGGCAGTCAGAGTTGACCAGGGACCTGTGGTCTTCCAAACACTGAACTTCTGACACCCATCAGTCTCAACCCAGCATAGCCATAGCCAATAATCAAGGTTGATAGACAGTGTAGGCCAGCGACATCTGGACAGCTGCTAGTTCCCTACTCCTGCTGTAGATGAAACTGAGCTAGATGGATTTAAACGTAAGAGACTGAACGTGCAGTCCTGTGCATGTTTAGGCAGAAAAAATGGCCTACACCTGCCCCAGCTGGCCAAGCATGCTGGGAGTTGTAGGCCTTTGTTCTGTCTAAAGATACATAGGATGGTGCCTTAAGTTTCAAGATGTAAAAACTAAAGTTGTAGTTGTGGCCCCTTTTTCTGACTAAACATACACAGGGCTGTGCCCTAAAGTCTCACAATTTAAGGACTGAATTTCTTACATCTTGAGATTAAGTCTCTCCTTTCCATTTGGTGCTGGAAGCTCTCCAGGTCTGCCTAACTCTAATGTGGTGCAAGGCAGCTTCCACTGTTCTGAATGCTGCTGATGTGCCCCATGCCTTTGTCTGGGGATGCCCTGGGGCTTTGCTGCACCCTCCGCCCCTTCTGCAGAGGCTTTTCTCCACATCCCGTGGGTCGCACGGCAGCAGTTTTCCCTCTTCTCGATGCCACCGCGGCGCCCGACGTGTGGGAGGGTGCAGGCTAGGCGAGGGACTATAACCTCTCCCCCCAAGGAGCCTGGGCACAGAGGGCAGCTGGATCGGAAGAACCCTCCGGGATACAACACGTTGGGCCTCTGACAGCTTCCCCCCCTCCGCAGGTACATCCAGAACTCACAACCGTACCTCAACAACATGACGGCGGTGGGGTGTGCGCTGGCACAGGCAGCTGTCTTCCCGCTCGGGCTGGATGGCCTCCACATCAGCAAGGACCTCTTCCCCTTTGTTTGCCAGGTACATCTGGGCTGCCCTGGGGCAAGCGCCATGCGGCATCCTGTGACTGGATGTTGGCTTTATGTCTAGACTCACAATACAGCGCCAGTTTCCAGCTTCAGCAGACGTTTGTGTCTCTTCCTGCCTGCCTGTCCACCCCACTGGATCCAGGACGCAGGTCTTCGAGCAGAGGCTGTGGTTTAGCTCTGGATCTCCCGCCTTCAGCAGGGTGGTCGGACTGGTGGTCCTTTCCCGAGAAAAGCGGAAGTTGCCCATAGAAATGGATGGAGAAAATCAAAGATTTGAAAGTACCAGCGTGTCCCCACACACTCGTTTTACTCTAGTTTTATTTATGCTTGTAAGTGGCCTTGAGTGCCATTTTCTGGATAGAAAAGTGGAGTACATGTCAAACCAGCAAATAAATAGCAGAAGGAGAATTTCCAATTAGAGGAAATACTTTCCAATTAGAGGAGCTTTCCCCAACCTGGTGCCCTCCAAAATCTTGTGCTTCAGCTGTTTTGGCCAATGGTCAGGAATCCTGGCAGTTGTGGTCCAAAGTACTTGGAATACCTGGTTGGGGGAGGCTGAATTAGGGAAATTCGGGAGGCTGTGAAGGAAATAATAATTGTTTTTTAAACATTTCTAAACACTTAAGAGTGCCACGTGTCTGTATGGAAGGCTTCTGCATGCAGCTGAGCATCTGATCTGGGCTAGAAAGAGACATGAGAGAGCAATTTAAAGAGAGTGCCCTTTGCTTCAAAAGTTTTGAGACTGGGATTCAACTAGTCCCAACCTGGCTCCTGAGTTTTTATCTGGGGCTTTTACAAGTCCCTTGAATCTCTGTTCAAGCAACACTCCTCCAGCCCAATACTTCAGAATATTATTTACTCTTTCAGGCAATGAAAACTCTTGATTAAGCACTAGGAACTGGATAATCTATGTGATGTTGGTATGTACTGTTGTACTTCACCAATAAAGACAAGTAGGTGGCAGTCTTAATTCTTTCATTAAGCAATTATAAATGATCAGCTATTATTCTCAGCCCTGACTGATAGTAGAGAGGACATGATGCAGGCTGGCGGTGGTTTCGCTCCCCACAACTTGCGAAAGGCACTATACCAAGACAATGCTACATTGCAAGGTCGTGGCATGTGACTCCCTCAACTCCAGCATGACTACAAAGTACATCATGGGGTTAACCACACTGGACAGCTTTGTAGGATTATTGAACCTGATCCGCAACCTGGACTATCAGGGAATATGGTGAGCTTTTAGTCACAGCACCTCCAGTCTGTCGTAATGAAATAAGGGACAGCATTGGCACTGGAAAGTGAAAGGCTGGTCTATTTTTAAATGCTTAAAAAGAAAACATTTTCAAATGAAAAGAGACTACAGCTGTGAAATATATAGAGGCATAGAAGAGTAGAGTTGGAAGGGACCTATAAGGCCAGCGAGTCCCACCCCTGCCTCCCTGACAGGCGTTTGTCCAGCCGCCTCTTGAATGTCTCCAGTGTGGGAGAGCCCACAGCCTCCCTAGGGAATGGGTTCCATTGCCGCACTGCTCCAACACATATCTTTGCTGCTACCCTTTGCTTTGTGGGGTGGGCATACCAGTGTCTAGTCACTTTATGTTATGGCTTTGCCAGGACCATACATGAGAGCCAGTATGGTGCAGTGGTGAAGAGCATGAGACTGGGACTCAGCGGATCCGGGTTCGAGTCCCCGCTTAGCCATGGAGCCAACTGGGTGACTTTGGGCCAGTCACAGACTCTCAGCCCTCGCAGGGTTGTTGTTGTGGGGATAAGATGGAGGAGGAGAGATGATGTAAGCTGCTTTGAGCCCTTTGTAGGAAAAAGGCAGGATATAAATCACAATATAAATAAATAAAAATACATGGAAAAGAGATTCGATGCACAACACAAAATGAAAGGCTGCCTCTCTGCTCCCTGCCATACACACTTCCTCCCAGCCGTTTTCCCCCAGCATGTGTTACTTTTGGACCCAGAACATCACTGGGAGAAAACAGCTGGGGCAGAGCAGTTTCAGGGGTAAAAGTATATGGGGAAGGTGTGATAGAGTTAGTCCTCACACAAGGACACCATGAGATGGGGCTCCTATGTTTAGGATGATCAGCAGGTAACGTATCCCATGCCATTTTCCAAATGCGGCCATGAATTGTGGGTTCATTCCTTGCCACAGAAAATACAGAAAGGACTCTGAGATTAGGCATGTCTTTTCCTCTTTTATTTTAACATCTCAAGCAATCTCTATATTTGATATAAAAGGATGAACTGCACAGCATTTAATGCAATCAGAACACATTTCATAATGCTTTTAAAGTTAAACTCTGTTTATGCATTTTAAAAATCTCACCCAATGACGGTTCTGAGTTTGTAGAAAAAAGGTGCAGAAAAGCCAGTATGAAGACTGGCAATATATCCTTAAATCCTTGTGTTCTGGCTTTTACATTTATATGATTTCTAACAAGTGGCTTATGGGATTTTTCTCCAAAGAGAAATGTAGAGCAGGATTTCTTAACAATGAAGCATTCATGTTCCAAAATTCCCAGATATGATTTGGAGCAGTACATGTACATGGTAGGCATGTCGTGAGCAGAGCTGGCTGGAGCCAGGGGTCAGACTAGATGGCCCGGGAGGCCCCTTCTGATTCACTCTGTTTCTATGTACTTCATAGTTTTGTCAGCAATGCTGAGATGCAGTTTCCCTAAGTTCTCCAAATAGGATACCCCCTGGTTCTTTTCCGTAGATTTACTGTTCAGTGTTTTAAATTTGCGGTGTTTTTATTTGTGTTCATTTCTCACACCGCATCATGTCATCTTTAGTTTTTTACTTCATAAGCATACATATAAGCAATGGTACAGTAAGCAGCTATCCTTCCTTCCTTCTCATATAATGCATATTTTTTCCTGACTTGCTTTTCTATGATTTGCTTTTCCTGACTAAAGGTATGAAACCTTTCTCACATTGTTTTAACAACAGCAGGCTCTGAGGTCAGTTAAAGGTTTAGTGAAAAGTAGCCGCATATCAGCCTGAATAGAGAGAGAGGGCGGGAGGAATGAATGAGTGTGGAAGATTAGTATCTTCTTGGAGAAACATTCGCAAAGGAGCTGATATCTAAGTTGAGGCAGGAGTCTTGCCAAAGGCCTAGAGTACAAAGGCTTCTGGAGCAAATATATATGACAAGCACCACCGCTGCAACTTGCTTCTTTCCAGGCCCGTTCTTTCCAGCAGTTTGACTGTTATTGAATTTAAAATATTTCATCCGGCTCTTCTGCTGGTTCTTAGGCAGGCTAGAAGCAGTATGATGCTAGAGAGGGTGGTCTTACTGTCCCTTCGACTCCCCGTGCAGGCTCGACTTTGGCTCTTGGGCTTGGGCTTCAGCTTGGGCTATGGCAGCATGTTCACCAAGATCTGGTGGGTGCACACCGTTTTCACCAAGAAGGAAGAGAAGAAAGAAAGACGTAAGGTGAGATGTTTTGTCTCTGTCTGTCTGTCAGTATTATTTATAAGGCACTGAAAGACCCAGTTTGCACATCACAACCACCCAGGGCTGCTTTTTTAAATCTCAGCTTGTTGCAAACACGTGTGCGCTCCTGCTATGAACAGCTAAACAACCCATAAATGCTCCATTCCTGGGCTGTTTGTCATGATACCTGAACTAGGAATTCTGGCTTGTTTCTTCTCCAGCAAGCCTGAGAATGCCCCTAGCTTGTGTAGCTGCTACCACTAGAGGCGGGAGTGAACAGGCTGAGTGTACGAGCTCATTTGCTTGCTTGTTCCAAAACCCCTAGGTGGTTGTGACAGGGAAACTGGGCCAAAGTTTGGTTGGTGCTACGCAAAGAGAGAAATGTAACATTCTTTCAATGAGTAAGTGCAATATTAGGTTGGGTACTTTGGGGTGTTCACAATATAATAGTCTTCTATTGCAGAGGACAGTAACCAGAAAATATCTCTGCTTCCTTGTTCTCCCTGGAGAACAGCTAATGCAGATTAGAGTTTCTTACTTCACCAAGTCTTTTGTCTGTCCTATCTGACAGGTGTGTCTGTAGGTTAAAGAGTTTTGAGTGAGAGGTGGTTCATAACATATAACTCATTTCAGGTGTTACTTTACCATTCACAGGTCCAGGGAGCATGTGGCACATATTTTCTTTAGGGAAGGAGCTTATGCTTTTGCATTCATGCCCCTGGCTTGTTGAAGGCCTTAACAAGAGTTTCACCAACTCTTAAGACTATGAACCACAGATATATAGTATATTAAGAATCTCCATATGATGTAAATTTATATGGGCATCTTGATGCTTATTGCACACCTTCTAGTATAGGTAACCTTGATCCCCGTCTAATGTTAAATTTCTTGTTCCACTTGTACCATTCTTCCAGTCATGCTTTAATCCAGGCAACGGTACTTTCAGAGTGTCTGGGGCCATTTTCACTGTTCTGGACCAATCCACTTATTCCATCAGGGTGAAATGTTTCCTTTTTTTCAAACAGAAAACATGCTTAACAGGGTAAATATTTGCTTTTACATATTTTATGTCTTTTTGTAGCACCTATGTTGTGATATTTCTGTGGTAATTGGTTTCCTTCATTCTGGATGAGCGCATTTGAGAATGTTTTCATAACCAGTTATGTGGATTTGAAATAGTCTAGTCATGCTTCTAGAATGTGCTCAAATGAAAGCAGGGGGGCTCTTAATGACATCCACATGTCCACCCCCACACCCCTCATCCAGTTTTAATCAAATCAAGTTCTCCACACCCCATATTCTTCTAAAAAAAGCAGGTGAGATAGTCATCCCAAAAGATATGAGGGCTGAGTCCTAAATAAGGGAGACTTCCTTGATGTGTTCCATTTTATCTTCAGAAACAAGGCAAAAATATTTTTGATTCTTCCAGGACTTTATAATCTCTTAATTGAATAAATGCTCTTTGAATTTACTGTTTTCATATTGTTTTTGCTTGATTGTTTTGCTTGCAATTTCTCCCAGTGAAAGGATATACATAGTGGAGTCCCACAAGTTTCTGTATTAAGACCTGTGTTTTTCAACCTGTTCACAAATGATCCAGATTATTTCAATTTTATACCACCCAATAGCCAAAGCTTTCTGGGTCATTTATAACTCCTTGAAAACAACCCAGGACTAAGCAGTAAAGTAGCCAAGTTTGCTGATGATACCAAACTATTTAGGATGGCTAAAACCCAAAGGGATTGTGAGGTGGTCCAGAGGGATCTCTCCAAGTTGGGAGAATGGGCATCAAAATGGCAAATTCAGTTCAATAACGCAAGGCTGGGGCAAAACATCCCAACTTCAATATATGCTGATGGAGTCTGAGCCAGTAGTGACTGAGCAAGACAGGGATCTTGGGCCGGTGGTGCTGAGCTCACCGAAAATGTCAGCCTAGTGCTCAACACCTTTTCCGCATAGCACGGGCAGAATTCCCAGCCACAGGAAGTAGGGATGGCCACCCTTTTGGACAGCTGTGAAAGGGGACTGGACAAATTCATGGAGGAAGAGGAGGAGGCTGTCATGGGTGCCTAGTCTAGATGGCTGTATTCTGCCTCTGGTATCAAAGGCAGTTAGCCTGCATACACAAGTTGCATGGGGGCTTGGGTAGGAGGGGGCTGTTGCCCCCTTATCCGAGTTGAAGCATCCTGTGAGCAGCTGGCTGGCCACTGTGGGAATGAAGTGCTGGACTGGGTTGGCCTTCAGTCTGACCCAGCAGGGCTTTTCTTAGTTTTTTTATGATATTGTGTGTTCTTGTTCCCTGACAACATTGTCAGTGAGGGTGCAGTATTTAATTCCCTTAAGCAAACAAGCACACTCTTTGGAACTGCCTCTCAGAGTACCTGTGCAGTGCCACCTCGCTTGTTTTCTTTAACCACCCCCCTCCCAAGAGCCCACCCTCTCTATGCGTCCTTCGGCACAGCATCTTCATTTCCGCCACTTAACTGCAGGGCCTTCCTGATGATGCTGATGGACTCCAGGTGTTTTGGAACTTTCTAGCACATTCAAACAGCCTTACACAACTCAGTGTACTCCATATGCTTTGGACCACAACTCCCATCAACCCTCCTCTGAGATATGGTGCCCTGGGCTGATGGGAGCTGTAGTTGACTGGTAACTCAGCATGTCACTAAAGGCCCAGCTCACGCAACTGAAACAGCTTTGGCTAGTGGGTGGTCTAGAAATTCAATGAATAAACAAACATTCCTCAGTGTTCAGACCTGCCTCCTCACTTCCTGCCCCGCCCCCGGTGTCAAATTTAGACTGTAAGCTCCATGAGGCAGAGATTTGTCCTCTTATTTATTTTATTTCATTTTTATACCACCCAATAGCAAGGCTCTCAGGGCACTTAACACTCTCTTGTGTCCTGAAGTGTAAAGCACTGAGCAAATTGAAGGGTTTGTATAAATATGGTACTTCATCATACCAAGAAAACATGCCTGACCAAATGGGCCTTTGGCTAGCATGCTCAGGGAGTATGGCTGCTGGGGACTGTGATGTTTTCTCTATGTTTCAGCAGGCCCTGCTGAGTCAGTGCCAGCCGCCTCCTCTCAGACCTGCTCTCCTCTTTTCTTTCTTTGCCTTTCCTTCCAGACCCTGGAACCCTGGAAGCTCTATGCCACCGTTGGGCTGCTGGTGGGGCTTGACTTCGTCATCCTGGCCATCTGGCAGATAGTCAGCCCGCTGAAGCGCACCACGGAGGTAAGGGAGGTCTGTGGTGCAGTCGCAGGCAGGCCTTTCAGACTCTGGAGACTGATCTAATTGGGCTGCTTCCCCAGAGACGAGAGATTCTGTATCCAAGGTTTAATTAGTGGAAGGGCTAAACTGTAGGATCCTTCAAAGTATGTGGTATAGCAAGTCCTAGACCAGTGATGGCAGACCTTTTCAAGACCGAGTGCCCAAACTGCAACCCAAAACCCACTTACTTATCACAAAGTGCCCACACGGCAATAAAACCCGAATACTGAGGTTTCAGTTTTCATAAATTCTTCACAAACAACTAAATATGATGCTGCAGATTCAAATATGCCAGGGGGAGAGCACTACATTAAAAGAATCAAAGTCTCTTAATTAGAACATCTCTTTGCTAAATCTTAGATATTAAATTTCATTTTTTCATAAGAAAACTCAAAGATAAAATCTTGTGTTAATAAAATGAATGTATTAAAACTCACAGCCAGTCCAACCAAATATCTATCTATCTATCTATCTATCTATCTATCTATCTATCTATCCATCCTTGGCAGCACACTGACCGGCCATGCGAAAGCTCAGACGAGTCACGGCGAATGAGTCGCGGCTCGTGACGTCATCGCCTGGTGCCGCTACTCCTTTCCGAGCATGCGCATGGCCCCTGTGTGCGCTGTTATCTGATGCTCGGCTGCTGGGGTGATGCGGGGCGACTTGGCTCACATGCCGACAGAGGGCTCTGCGTGCCCGCTGTGGCACACATGCCAGAGTTTCACCACCACTTTCCTGGAACAATCTTCCCAGCCCAACACACCCCAAATGATTTAGCCTACGACTTCCAACATTCCTGATCATGGGGCTGATGAGAGTTGAATTCCAAACAGTCTGAAGGGGTACCAAGTTGGGGAAGCCAGTCCTAGAGTAGGTGAAGTACTCAAGAACACCACTGAGCATAAGTAGAGCGCCTTTCTACCCACCACTGAACAATGGCAGTATGCCCACAGAAGTTTAGGTTTATGCAAGAGGGGCTGCTTCCCAAGACGAGGCTTTTATTCTGCAACTTATTCATAGAACTTTAGTGTGGGGGTCCAGCTCTTGCGTTCCCCCACCGCTGCTCCTGCCTTTTTTCTTACCAGAACAAAACCTATTAAGGAAGAAAAGTTGCAAGGGCTGCACCAGCAGCTTCCGCTTGGAGGCAGCCAAGGTGCCCCACACCAGTCTTTCCAGGGACACCGACAGCATTCTCAGAAGGAGGTTCTCCACACTCGCTTCCATTTACAACCTGACCTGAAAAGAAGGCTGGCTAACAAAGGTGCACACACAGACAAAGCATATCCCAAGAAACTGACTGTGCAGAAAATCTTCCACCATTTTGCCCCTGTTGCCAGTATGCCTCCTCCTGTTCCCCACCACATGCTCTTAACCCCACTCTCTCTTCTTCATTGAAAACAGCATCCCTAGAGTCTCCTATAAACTTCCTGTCTGCTGCCCACATCTGAACCTTTGCATGCTCCGTCTTCTGCCTCATCACTAACATACATGCTCTCCCTGACGTAGGCCTGGTTCACGGCCTGGCTTCCTTGCCAGCAGCACATTGCAGATTAGATGATTGCACAAGACACAACTAAATCAGCTTCCTGTAATGCAGACCTTTGCTTTCTTTTCTGTCTACTGATCTTTACATCCGCTGCCCTTCCCCATTGCATGCATTACCATTTCTAATCATGTGTCTGCACATTTAACAATCCATCTGGAAATCCCCTTCCATGTAGAATTTCTGGAACAAGCTTCCTTCATCTGGTGGATTCCAAATGTTTTGGAACACAACTCTGAGCATTCTTGTCCATTGGCCGTGCCGGCTGGAGCTGATGGAAGATGAAGTGCAAAACATCTGGAGGACACTGGGGAGGCGGGGGAGGCTGTGCTAGAACATGCGAAGTGGCTTTCAGATCCTCAGTCTGGAGGTCAGACGGTGGGACTTCTACCAACCCATTGCTATTCTGTATTTTGCGTTGGCAACTTGTAGCCCTCTGGATGCTTTGGCCTAGTAATCTTTCACCATTAGGTATGTTGGCTAGGCTGGATATAAGCCAAAACATCTGGAGGGCCACAAGTCGCACACCCTGCTTTACAGGCAGACATTCTGGAAACCTTCTGAACCTCACTGCCTTCTGGAATTCTTAAAGGAGAATTCTTAAAGGAAAACCAGCCAGTTGGTCATACACTCCAGTGGAAGATGGCATTTAGGTGGTTCTTCTCAAAGGAACGAATACAGGGAGCTCACTTCCTGAATCCAGGTTGTCATCCTAAGGCTGAAACAGATGTGCTGCAGGAGATCCACAGTCAGTTTTCCTGGTGCTTCCCTTTCCCCACACACAATTTAAAGACAGAGCAGTAGAAAACCTGGTACAGAAGCCTGTCCCTTTTTTACCCCAGTGCCGGTATAGTCACAGCCTTAGGAGTGATTCAGATTAAGGAAAAGGTGCAGCATCCCTCTTCCGCTGCCACATTCACAGTTCACCCAGTGCATGAGGAATCGGAAGACTTGATTAATGTTGCAAGAAGATCAAGGTTACCACAGTTCTGGTACCTTTGCACTGTTATTACTAACAATGTTAATAGTATCACCTGAGCAAGCACAACAAGAAGTAGGTTTTACAGTCATAACAAATTTGGTGCAATAGAATCTCTTTGAATTAATCTCACCAATAATTAACCACTTCCCATTACAGCTGGGATTTATGATTCCTGATTATATAGTAGTTAATATATTTTTATTGGCTTTCGTATTTTCAGTTACAAACACTGAACCATCACTTCCCGAGTGCCTGCAGCCACTTCCTTGAATACTTTGGTGCTTTTATCTTTTGTTAGTCTGTTGGACTTTCCAAACCTTATGCCCTCCATATATTTTGGACTCCAATGACCATCAACTTCCTCCAGCATGTCCAGGACCGCTGGGAGTTAGTCTAAAACACCTTCAGGGCACTGTGTTGGAGAAGCTTGTCCTAATAGCTTTCCTCTTAATCCTCTCCAGGTTCTTTGTGTCTAAGTTCAATTATATTTCACAGGTGTGGTGTGGTGGTTAAGAGTGCAGGGCTGGGACTCAGGCAGTCTGGGTTCTAGTCTCCACTCAGCCATGGGACCAACCGGGTGACTCTGGGCCAGTCACAGCCTCTCAGCCCAGACGGCCTCACTGGGTTGTTGTCGTAAGAATAAGACTGAGAGCAGGAGGAAGAGAATGACACAAGCCACTCTGAGTTCTTTGTAAGAAAAAAGGCAGGATATAAATCTTATAAAGAATAAATAAAGCATATGGGTCAATAAGTGGGAAAAACAGAAAAAAATGCCATGGCATCTCTTTCTTCCTTTCTCAAGGGATCTTGTAGTTCTGGGAAATGGTGAACCCCCTCCCATTTTACAGAACTATTGGTGGACTTTCCACCAGCCAATGCCCGAGACCTTTGCCGAGTGGCCCAGCCCTACCTTCCCACCCCCACCGCTGGCAAAACTGTATTTTGATTTTAATGATCGTAAGCCATCCTGAGATGCTATGCATAAGGGACACCATATAAAAGTTTTAAATCAATAAATAAAATGTTATAGGTAGCCTGTTACATAGGAATGATGGGAACTGCAGTCTGGCCACTTCTAGAAGGCACCAAGATGGTGGACCCTTAAACTGGCATGAAACTGATTGACTTGTGGCAAAAAGTGTCGCAGCTCCGCTGAGGGCCAAATTATACTTCGCAGCCGTGGGATTGTGCCTTTGTGGGTCTGTCAGGTGTGTGTGGACCAGGATGTCCAGGTGTAAACACTTTCAGGCACAGGACAAGTACGTGAGCGAGCCAGTGGTGTTGCTGCTCCTGCCACCTGACTGGCAAGGTTGTTTTTCCCTCAGCAGGGCTGTTGGTACCAACCAGAGATAAAATGCTGGAACAGGAAGGTGGCAGAGACAGGGAGGATTCAGCACACCTATAGCTGTGTCCACACATCCCTTTTGTATATCAGAGCATATCTCCAGCGGCCCGTGATTTACCTGTGTTTGGAGTAGGTGTGCGTCTGCTGCTGGAAAGTGTACTTTGGCCTGCATCAAGGGAAACCTGAGAAATGTTGGCACTGTGCCGGCCGTTGACGCATGTTCAGTCTGTTATCTGCTTTGCTTGTTAAATCCTTCTCAGCAGTGCAGCTGCCTACCCAGCCTGTGACCCTTCCCATATCTCCAACTTGCAGGAATTCACCAAAGAGGAGCCCAAAAGTGACATTGATGTGCTGATCCTACCCAAACTGGAGCACTGCAGTTCTGAAAAGATGAATACTTGGCTTGGTGAGCTTCACCAAGAAAGCTGGGAGAGTCTGGATTTGTCCAAGTTCCTGCATGCACACACACAATTCCCACTGTCTTGACTGTATTTATTTACGTATTAGCCTGTAATGCAACCTTATCTGCTAGAAACTCATCCAAGTGCCATACAACAATTTATAACAATATTAACAAAACAGTGAAATAGTTAAAACTGCTCATTTTGAAAGAGTAAATTGGAATGATGTGTCTTTATTTATTTATTTATTTATTTAGGAGGCTTCTATGCCACCCCATTCGCCGAAGCCTCAGGGCGGCTTACATCCATAAATAAACATCCTTAAAATAATATAAATTAACAGTATAAATTAAGTCGCCCTGGCCAAAGAATAAAATGAATAAATACTATGAACAATTAAAATGCCATTTGAATAAAAAATTCTTTAGACCGCGTATATGAGAGTGCAGGCTAATCTTACTTATTGAAGGAATGGATTCCATGGTTTGGGAACAATGCCGGAGAGAGCCCTTTCACAAGGGCCCATCAAAAGGACCTTTCCCGCAGATCTGGATATGCAGGCATGTGGATAGCAAGGCAGGTGGCCCTTTAGCCAGCCAGCCCTTTGCTGTCTTGCTTCCTAAGCTATTCGGGTCCTTGCGTTGTTTCTGGAAAGCAATCGGCAACCAGTGCAGGTCCTTCAGAACAGCTGCCTTGTGGTCCCGGCATTGTGCCCCAGTTAGCAGCATGGCTGCTGCACTTTGCACCACTGAAGCCTCCAGGCATTCTTCCGAGGCAGAGTGCACAGCGGTGGTCTGAATGCGATGCACCCGAGTGATGTCCCAGCCCCCCGGTAGCCCTGTTTCCCCCACACTGATCCTGCCATAGACCAAAAAGCTCAATTTGCATTTCCGCAGAGCACAAACCTGGCTGCTGTCTTCCTTCCTGGTGCTCTGCACCACTTCCCACTGGAGGGCTAGTTCTCAGGTTCCTCCAGACACTGCCCTTCTAGGTGTGTCTTCTGTCTCTCAAAGAAGCAGCTGCAGGGGGTTCGGAAGGAAGTGCCAGAGGGTTGAGGGGCAGAGCGAGCCATTGCGGATGTGAGGGTCTTGTGGCGACTGCAGTGTGGTCCTTGGGACACCGGCCAAATGGCTCAGCTTTCTCAAGCTCGTGGAGCAAAGTGTCCCACCCTCCCATCCTTCAGTTGCTTTGTGCTTCTGGTGCTTCATAAAGGCTTTCAAAAATAATTATTGAATGCATGGTTGCATCTTGTTTTTAATTATCAAAAATAGCCCTGAATGTTTTGGAGAAATGTAAGATATCAAATGCATCAAAAGTAAATACAGCACAGATACTACTGCCATCTCTCCCACGCCTGTCCTTTTTGAACCCCAGCATGGTTCATCTTGGACTCTTCCTCCTCTCCCAGCACCTGTGCACTCACTTGTACCACCACCTCTCTCTGGCCACAGGTATCTTCTATGGCTTCAAGGGACTCCTGCTGCTTCTGGGCATCTTCCTTGCCTATGAGACCAAGGGTGTTTCCACCGAGAAGATCAATGACCACCGAGCCGTGGGCATGGCGATCTACAACGTGGCTGTGAGTAGCACACGCCTGATGCATTTGGAGCAAATGACTGGCCTGGGTGTCTCCTGCTCTGCTGACTGAGCTGGAGAGAGGAAAGGAACTGAACTGGATCCATGGTGAAAGGAGCGCCAAGCCCATTTGACCTCACGGCCTTCATGGAGAAGAGCCAAAGTTTTGTCCAACTTTCCTGCAAGTAGAGAGCTGTATGAGCAGCTCTGATTTGCATTTGTCATTGGCTGGGCCCAGACCCTGGCTCTGCCAGCAGGAGCTCACCAGTGGCAAGGGACTTCCGCCTTGAGCCCAGCCCTTGAAGAGACCCCCCTGTGGATGTGCCCTTGGGTCTGGCCACTCCTGCGCCACATGGGCTGCATGCTGTTCTCCTTCCGTGGGCTTTGCTTTTCCCACGCGCAGCCGATTGGTGGGAACATCTGGGTTCAAATCAGTCATGATCCATACGTGGCCCTGGACAGGTGGCTGTCTTGGAGACAGCACAGTGATAACAACCTGTTTTTGCTGGTGGTTGTTTGAACAAAGTAAATGCCATGATCTGTCCTGAGCCCTGGGGACAGGGTGGGCTGTAAAACATAACTGCTAATTTCCGGTAGACGGCAGTGCCTCTCCTGCCCACCCTCTTTCCTGCCCATTGCGACACCGTAGGACCTAGAGCGTGAGGTTTCCAGAGTGGTGCAAACCCGGTCTCTCTCCAGGTGCTGTGTCTCATCACTGCCCCCGTCACCATGATCCTTAGCAGCCAGCAAGACGCCGCCTTTGCTTTTGCCTCGCTCGCCATCGTCTTCTCCTCGTACATCACCCTGGTGGTGCTCTTTGTGCCCAAGGTGAGTCCCCCGCCCGTGGCCCACCCTCTCTCCCTTCCGTCGCCTTGTGCCCCCTGTGCTGCACAAAGGCTTTCGAAACACTGACTAAATGTCTCAGTGCCTTATTATAAAAACTTGCTCCTTATCCAAAAGTGCTTCCTGCATTTAATATCAGCCACCCAGAGAGCTCCAGCTATGGATGGTATAGAAATGAGACGAATAATGATCAAAAAGGGCAGCATCAGGGCTCTCCCGTCTGGCTGCCGGGCCCTGCTTGCCCCTGCAGTGAGCTGCCGGGGAGGCCGCTGAGCACTCTCGCTTTCAGATGCGGCGGCTCATCACCCGGGGGGAGTGGCAGTCGGAGCAGCAGGACACCATGAAGACAGGCTCCTCCACCAACAACAACGAGGAGGAGAAATCACGGATGCTGGAGAAGGAGAACCGTGAACTTGAGAAGATCATTGCGGAGGTAATGGGGTGCGGATGGCTGGTTTTGGGGTACCATGAAGAGCAGGGAGGTTAATAGAGGTCTGTCCTGATAGCCTTGCGTGCATTTCCTACGTGCCCGGCTGTTTATCCTCTGCATCGAAGCTTTGCATGTTTTCCGTACATCCGCACAATGCTAAGAGAATGAGGGCGTTCTATGAAAAGGAAGCTTGAGTCTGAGCATGTGCACAGAGTGGCGTTAGGATACTTCCTGTTTATAGCTCTCTTCCTGAACCACGGCAGCAGAATGTGGTGCCTTGTCCCAGCCCTGCCTTCCTGCAGTCCCACTCTGGCCACGCTCCCTCTTCTGCCCCCACATAATGCGGTGGCTTCCTGGCTTATGGGCAGTTTTCCCCATTCTGAGAAGTTGGAACACCTCTCCGAGGGCTTATTTACTGGCAGCAAGTGCTTTAGGCTAAACTACGCTGGCATGCTGAACAGTTTGGCCCTGCCCTGCTCCGAAATGTGCCCCTCCATCTCAAAAGCTTCTCCAAAAAGATATCTGGCCCATGGGCCAACAGAGGTTCAACACCCTGGCCCAAAAAGCTTGCTCTGCCCCTCTCATTGCAGTAGCCCACATAATGACCCTCCAAGGTAAGCGTCATTCCGGCTATTCTGGAGAATATTCTTGGTTTTGCTGGCCGGGCAGCTGCTCTTCCTTCCCACGAAAGCGTCTGCCGAGGGCATCGTGGTCCTGTGGCAGGCCGGGCTGTCTCTCCCCCTGCATTTTGGCCCCTGTCTCCCCTACCTTGTGCTGCGGAGATTTGCCTCCCCTGCTTCTCATGCCCCCGCTGTCCCCGACAGAAGGAAGAGCGCGTCTCTGAGCTCCAGCAGCAGCTCAAAGAGCGGCAGCAGCTGCGTTCGCGACGGCGTTCCTCCAACTGCGACAACCACTTCAACAACTCGGCCTCGGCGTCTGCGGCCACCGGCCCCAACCTCTACCAGCCCAGCCTGCCCCTCGTCCGCTGCCTCGTGGCCGAGCAGGCCGACAAGCTGGGGCGCAACAACTGTGACGGGAGCCGCGTCCACTTGCTCTACAAGTGACGGACCTCGCGGGCATCGCCGGGGGGGGCGCCACACCTGCGCAGCCCTGGGGGGCGGGGGCGGGGTGGGCAGAGGCTGACGGAGCAGCTGGTGGGTTGGGTCTGTGTACACGTGGCCGGGGAGTTTGTTTTGAAGCATAACCTCTCATCTTTGTAAAAAACCTGTGTGTCTGTCCACCCGCCTGCCCCGGAACCTGGAATCCAGGTGCCAACTCTATGGAGACTTTATCTTAGAAGTAGAGAGGGTCGCGCGGCTGGCCTCCCTCCCGCTTCCCAAGACACACGCTCCTGACGCCTGCTGAAGTGTGACACGCTGGGAGGGGTGGTCGCCGGACGCATGGCTGCCTGTCAGGTGGACGGCTTCCGGTCGCGAGCGAGGGGAGGAGGGAGCAGCCCAAGCTGAGGAGCGACTGCCTCTTGCAGTTTCTGCTCCCGTGCGCTTCTCCGGGTACTGATAGTGGCGGCCACTGCCACGGCCGTGCCTGTTCTGAGCAGCACTGGGCTACAGACCCGCAGGTGCCCTGAGCTACTGCCGGTTGCAGTGTGGCTCCTACAGATGGGTCCTTTCTTCTTATTGACAGCAAGTCTCTTCCTTTGGGCTGCAGCCTGGTTGCCTGGGACAGGTGGGCACCATCGCTCAGATACAGCTGACCCGCGCAAAAGCCACTTAGAAGGGACCCAAGTTACTAATGGACTAAACCAGTCTATAGCAGTCATGCTGTCGTGCACAATTGGGGGTCCTAAGCACTTTTGTATGAATGAGCCTGTAAGATGTTACCCCAAACAGTTAGACTGGAGTGAACTGATTTTGCACACTTGTCACTGAAACTGACCAACTGAGGTCCCTGACCTGATGCTGGTTGCCGGAGCAAGAAACTCCCACCAGCCACACGCACACACACTCACTGCCCACCTGGTCATACCTGTAGCTGCATCATCAGTCGCATCTCGACTTCATGCCGACCTCCCAGCACTGCAGGGGTGCAAGTATAACTGGGTCATGTGCATGTGAAGTTGAACAGGGATGCTGGAGGCACGGCTGAAATACGGCTGACTTGTAGACAGGAGAGAGGTCTGTACATTCTCAGCTCCAGAATATGGTGGATAAATGTGGGCTTCTTGTCCAGACATACAGGGTACTTCCAGAGACAGGAAAATGCAGAAACATGACCAAGTTGCTTTGTTTTAGACATGGGGATTGGCCCTAGAAGAGGGGAGGGGAGAGGAGAAGAGGGGAGGGGAGGGGAGGCGAAACACTGGAACACTTTCCTTGTAACAAAAGTTCTCCAAAAAGGATTGATCCCAAGAAAATAGGCGGGCAGAGATACCGCAGCTTGAGAACTGTCCTTAAAAGGGTGATGTCCCAGCAGAACATCTGCAGCTGCTCAGAAACGTCACTTCCCGTGGTGGAGTGTGAGGTCACAGGGAAAGGCTACACTCACCTCTGATGCCTTCATCTCTTTGCCTCCTGCACCCAAATAGCAAAGGCCTCTTGGCTCTGCAGGTGAAGACCGGAGCTGGGCAGGATGCTAACGAACTTCAGGAAACAGGGCCCAGCAGCTACCTTATGGCCAGGGGCTGCCTCAGTAGTGTGTGCGTGTATGTGTGTGTGCATTGTGCATGTGTCGGTGCCAGTTTCTCCCCACACCTTTCCATTTTGAGCACTTTATTGTCCCAGCAGATGTGGGGAGTAAATGGGTGCTGTCTGGGGGGCGGGGGAGGGGAAGCCCAGATGCCTGCCAGACTTTCCCCATCCGGCATACAGATGTTCTTCAGTAAAATGATACAATATGAGGCTTCGACTCCTATTTTCTGTGAATTGGGTCACATCATCAGACCACAAATCTGGCTTTCGCGCGGATCTGGTGGGGAGCTAAAACGTGAAAAGGGATGACTCTTGTCCTGTGCTTTGTCTATGCACAGAGAGAGAGGCCATTAGCTTGCTGCCTTATGGGGCAATCCTGTGCAAGAAAGAGGTCCCGCGATTTGGATAGCACTTAGCTCCCAGGTTGATGTGCACTTGCAGTCTTGTTTTCTTTCAAAAGGAAGAGAGATGGCCTTTTAAAATGCAAAACCACCCTGGGGATTGAGCTATTCCAGGTGGCAGCCAGTTAGTGCTGAGCACAGCGAGCTTCTCCTGCAGTTTTGCAAACCCAGGACTTTTTGGACACATGCTGGTTAGAGCTCAGGGCTGAATGGGGTGCTTCCAAAGTGGTGCCGCTCCTCTAAAAACGATTCCTATGCATAGTATAGGACTTGTCACTACACCCTACAGAAGCAGTGTGGATGGACCAGAATTAAGGAATGGCATGAGAGCCCAGAAATGCTCCAAGAAATGTCTGAGAAACCGATTTTGAGATGCATAATTAATCTCTGCGTCACAAAAGGCAATGTGTGTATTGCCCGGGTTGGTTGGGAGCTAGAAAGGTCCTCAGGTACGGCTCAAGGATGAAGGAGGTGCAGCGAACCACGAGGCACAATGCGCCTGCCCAGCCACCAGGGCCCGATTCCTCTTCACCTGTGCTTTAGACGGGCAGCTGTCTGTATGCTTTACATTCTGCCCAGTCACCTTCCCAATACATACCTGGCCAGTTATTTCTAGATATATATGCACACATACACATCCAGTAATAATATAGAAATAATCAAAAGTATTTCTGCTCTAACTCTCTAGGTCAGCCTTCCCTAATCTGGGGTCCCCCCAATGGTTGGACCAGCTCCTACCAGCCCTAGCTGTCATAGCCAATGGCCGGGGATGTTAGGGCTTTTAGTACCAAACTTCTGGAAGACTTTCGCTTGGGGAAGGCTACCTGGAGCAGCAGAATGCAGACTGGGAGCCACCACTCCTAACAGCAACAAGGCTTTCCTCTTACTCAGCCCCATCCAAAATGGGCTCTTGATCTGCAGTAACTCCACATGGACTTGTTCTTATCACCCTGGGACATGGCTCAGAAAGTAACTGGCTCTCCCACCATCTGGTTCCACCATCTCAATGGATCTAGTCATAACTGTCATCTTGTACCAATACATGCAATTTTTGCAGAATCTTTAACCTTGCAGGATATATTTTTTAAAAAGAAAGCAAAACAATTCTGGAAAAAAATTTATTTGGGGGATAGACAAAAACAGGGTACTTGGGGAATCTCTTCATTCAGTCCTATTGCCAGCAATGATTGAAATTCTCCTTCCTCTCCAGTGCCCATAATTTAATCAGGCTCCAGGTGGCAGTGACAAGGATGAGCTAGTGGAAATCAATTTGATTAGCTCATGGAAAGCCATAAGTCATGGAGGGCACCAGTCATGCATTCTAGGATTATGTGAAATGCCAGGCTCAGAAAGCAGGGGGGAAGCTTCTTGGGGCAACGGGGCACAGTACTGTGCACGGAGGACGGTGGCAACGAGGTCTGCGAAGGAGGTGCCACCGGTTCGGGGATGCGGAGCATAATGACGGACGATGCCTTTTTGCCTCTCACACAGCTAGGTAGAGGGGGGCAACCAGGAGCGAAGATGGAAATGGAGGCTTTCTAGGGCACTTTATTCGAGGGAAGCAATGCTGAGTTGCCAATGTTGCTGTTTTATTATTTGAACCAGCCCATGCTGACGCACCATTTACAGCCACTTGAATTGGCAGCTGATCATTTTTTCTCTGCAGGCATTCACTTTATCAGCTGATTTCTGCATTTTAGATTGCTTTTGAAGAACAAGGCAAGCTGGTCTAGTGCAATAACAGCCCCAGCTCTTTGCTGTAACCAGAAATCCCAAACCCAAACAGAATTTCTTTACTGATGCACTCACTGGGTTGCCATCTCCTTTGATGCGAGGCAGGCCTTTAATAGCTACATAATGGGTAGACATTTAAAAGGAGAAAGACGCTTTCTCTGATTCCTGGGTGCTTGGGAAAATTTTGCTGCTTGAAGTCCCGTCTTCCACGCAGCTCTTCAATGCACAGAGGCTGTCTGGAAAATGAGCCCTGCTACGAAGTACAGGAGCCAGGAGTTTCCAGAGTGGCTCTGGAGAATCTGTGCCCATCCTGAAGCAGTTCAAAGTTAAAGGCACACAAGTGGACCTCACACAGAAGTACCCCCTCCCTGTACATGTTCTTTAAACTAAGCTGGAGAAAGTATCAAGGCCTGGGATCAGCACATGACATCGGCCAGTGGTTAGTATTGCCTGGCATCTGTTCTGCTGCTGAACTCTCCAAGCCGTCCTGACCCCCGTAAGCCCACAAGCAGCAACAGGAGCGAGAAAGAGCTGCTGCTTGCTGTGCCCTCTGGGCAATGGGGCTGACTGGGCCAGAGGGAGGGAGCCAAGGAAGGGGTGCCAGCAATGGAGAGGCTAGGCAGCTCAGAGAAGGGGGATTCTGCCGGAGTAGCTGAAGTCAATGCAGGCTGGTGTACACACCAAGTCCAGCAGAGTGGCAAAGTGGACTGCACAATGCCAGGCCCAGGCTGGGAGGTGCCATCTTTGGTGGCTTTCCCAGATGCCAAGCTTCCTGCCAGCCTAAAAACCAGCCCTTCAGCCATAGCCCACTTCCTTCTCTGCTTGTTTTCTGATTGCAAGGAAGGTGCAGGGAGGACCCCCCCCCCGCCCAGGTGGAGGGGCATTAAAATGCAACCTCCACCTGAAACCACATACATCAAGCTTCACCAACCTGATGCCCTCCAAACACCTCCCAGCACTCCTGGGCCACCAGCCTTGCAGGCCGATCAGAGCAGAAGTCCAAATACGTGGAGGTCACCGAGCTGGCAAAGCCCGGTCTGCTCAGGCAGGCCTCTACCCCCTTACTCTGCCGCAACATCCTGGCCAGGCCCAGGACTGCAGGGGAAGGAGAATCCCCATTTTATCCAGGCATTGAGAAGTTGTGACACGCCCTGACTTTCACCATGCACAATCAGGTGATAAGGAGCCAGTCCATGGGCTGCTATCAAGAGGGATGATGCCCCAAGCTGTCCATGGGGGAAACGTCCTGTGGTCGTCCCAGCAGCAATGCCTTGGTAAAGT